GATTTGTTTATATAAAACTTACTGAGTATTACAGCAGCATGTCACAATGGATTTGTTTAAATATAAAACTTACTGAGTATTACAGTAGCATGTCACAATGGATTTTTTTAAATATAAAACTTACTGAGTATTTACAGTAGCATGTCACAATGGATTTGTTTATATAAAACTTACTGAGTATTACAGTAGCATGTCACAATGGATTTGTTTATATAAAACTTACTGAGTATTACAGTAGCATGTCACAATGGATTTGTTTATATAAAACTTACTGAGTATTACAGTAGCATGTCACAATGGATTTGTTTATATAAAACTTACTGAGTATTACAGTAGCATGTCACAATGGATTTGTTTATATAAAACTTACTGAGTATTACAGTAGCATGTCACAATGGGTTTGTTTATATAAAACTTACTGAGTATTACAGTAGCATGTCACAATGGATTTGTTTATATAAAACTTACTGAGTATTACAGTAGCATGTCACAATGGGTTTGTTTATATAAAACTTACTGAGTATTACAGTAGCATGTCACAATGGATTTGTTTATATAAAACTTACTGAGTATTACAGTAGCATGTCACAATGGATTTGTTTAAATAAAACTTACTGAGTATTACAATAGCATGTCACATGGGGTTTGTTTATACTGAGATTGATGAGAATTACTTTTAAATCAGTGATTTGCTCATACCAAGGTTCATAAGAATTACTATAGTAAATGTCACTGGACTCGTTTATATTTATACGAAAACAAATTGCAATTATTAGCTTGTTTAAATTTGTCTGCTCAGTAATCATTTCAATCTCAATAATTGCTATTTATGTAGCCGGCGATTTTTTTATAATCAAGGGATCCAATAATAATCACTTAATATGATGAAGGTCGTCTTTTTTTTTATTTTTTTTTTAATACTTTTATTTGCAATTAAAACAAGTACATCAACATCACATTTTTTACATAGTTTCAAATGAAAACGAAAGGTTTTGAACATGTACATAATGAATATTTGCGTGATGTCATGTATATGATTATAACAAAAATTACAAAAGATGGCAGTAAAAGGGGTGAAGGTCAAATAAACGTGTCAGAAGTCTGGGTGGGGAGTGGAAAGGATATTTTTCCGAGAATGACAAAGGCCAGTGGAGCATTTTCAATGTAGGGAAACAAATTAAGTTGACTAGTTAAAAGAGTGTTTATTTATGTACTGGTCGCATTGAGTTTTCAAAAGGTTGCTGTGTAAAAAATGAGGGGAAAGAAACAATATTTAGAACTTTAAAAAGTAAATGAATAGATATTCGAAATTGATGTTGGGGTGGGTGGTGGGGTCGTTGGAACAGTTAAAGGGAAAGTGGTGTTTTCATGTCTGAGGGTAAGTGGATAGAGGGAGAGAGGGGGGAGTGGGTAGCTGTGTCTGACGAGGCGTGGAGAGGGTGACTGCGTGTTTTTAGGGCAAGCCAAGCGTCAAATTTTGTGCTGTGTTATCTGACTGCTGATGTGTTACCATTTGTAGTGTGTGTGGGTGGGGGGGGGAGGGTTTGACGAACAGATTGCTGTGTGAGCGAATTAGTGGGAGGGTGAAAGGTTGGTATGTTCAAGTCGGTGTTTATGTTTAGATGAATGTTAAGTACCGACAGGTTAGGGGTGGGTAGGCGTGTAGCTATCACGTGTAGGGATACAGTGGAGTTTTATAGATCAAAAAAATTGGTGTTCACATAAAAGAGTTAGTAAAGTTAACGAAACAACTGTAAGTGTTAATTTGGTGATAATACAATGAATACAAAAGGAGTACGGGTCATTGGGGTCATTTGTACGTTGTGGACCAAAGTACCTTACATATATGATAATAGTAATATAGTAACAAATGATAGCTTTACAATGTTTGTAAGCTTTATAAATTAAACAATACACAAAAAGCAACAATAGGAAAATGAAATGCCAAATGATAAATGATGCGACACAGAGTGGGGACATGGGGGTTGAGGGGTGGGAGTTACATTGATGTTGTTAGAAATGTATTTGGATAATACATCATTGTCACTGTTTAACATAGTACTTCATCACAGGGGTGGTGGTGATGGGGACGAGGGGATGCAGTTTTGAGGGGAAATTTGATATTGGGATCATGAGGTTTAGGGGCGGGGGGGGGGGGGGGGGGCGGAGAGGGTGTGATGAAAGGGGGATGTGTCAGTTCGATTAGGCGTTCCAGGTGGCAAAAGCAGTGTAATCTGTTCTTTACGTTTTGGTGTTGTTAATTATGGTATATGTGTTTGAGTGCTGTCATTGTCGAGTCGTCTACGATAAATCAAGTCTAGTACGTGTCCCGTGAACTGTACCTTGTCGTGTTTTGCTTTTATTCTGCTGTTCCAAATAGTCTGTCTATATATAGCTACCGTCCTTGCTTTTTGCTCTAGGTCCGTCCTATCTCTTTGTATTGGGATTTTGTTTAGAGTTATGACTATATCGATATTGTAGGTCTCGTTTTTTATTATTTTGTTTTCTAGCGTCTTTTTCATGTTTTGTATGGTGGGGCATTCTAAATAGATGTGCGTTTCGGTTTCGGGTGTGTTTTGTCTGCATAGTGGGCAAAATGGTTTCTGTTGTTTTGCTAGGGGTGTTGAATTGTAGATGAGTCTGTAAGTTATTTCCCTGGCTTTGGGTGTGATGGTTTTGAGGTGTAGGTTTCTGAAGGTGTCCATTGTGTCTGTTAGAGCGTATTTCCTACACCATTGAATTCTGTTGTATAGTGGAGTTGAGAGCTTTTGAACTAACTTTTTGTAAATGTTTCGTGACTTTTTGTGAACAAGTTTTTCCTTGTTTTTTAATATTTGTAAACATTCTGTGTAAAAGGGACTGAGTTTTCCTCCTATGTAATGTGGAGTTGTATTATTGATTTTTGTAAGTTTGTTTAGCTGAATGCCTATATAGTAGTGAGCTAGAGGGTGAAAGTTTGGTTGGCTAATTATTCTGCTAATGTGTGTTAGTCTGAATGTATTGATTTTGGTCTGTATATCGTGCAGGTTTATTCCTCCATGAAGTTTGTTTTGTACTAAAGTGTTGTGGCTAATGTTTGAAATTGTGGTCTGAAATATGTACTCTCTAATGATTTTATTCAGATGTTTAATTGTTGGCTTTGGGATTGTTTTAGCCGTGGCTATATAGGTGATTTTTGGGATGACATACCTATTAATTATAGATGACCTAGCAAAGATTGTTGTTGAGCTAAATTTATAAAGTGCTATGGTGTTTTGGATTTTGCTTAAGACTTGTTTCCATTCATCATCGTTGTTGGTGTGTGGGTTACTATAGTGGGTTATGCCGTAAAGTTTTAGTTTGTTGGTACCTAGCATGTTTAGTGGGTAATTGGGTTTGCTGATCCACCGTCCAAGTCCCATAATTTTGGTTTTCATTAGGTTAATTTTTGACCCGCTACCCAGCCCAAAGTCAAGGAACATGTCTGTTATTAGTATGATAGATGAAGGTCGTCTACATGATAGAGAAACAAATATCTCAATATGTAGCAACATGGAAATCATTTCACCATGGAATTATAAAACTTACTATTTAAGAAATTTCCGGTTTTAATTAAAAATAATATTTCGAGTAATTATTATTATAAACATATCCGTTCAAGACTACAGCTAATTTAAGAAACTCTATTTTTTGAGTACCACACAATTAAGAAAATATATTTTTAAAAACTAAATGTACCTGGTAAAATTTTATTGAAGTAAATTTTCTCATCAAACACCGGGTTCTCTCCCTCTTTCACCTTAGTCTTGTGTCGCTGTCTCTTGCTGGGCAACAGCATGATTCGAACCTACATCACAAAACATGATTAACAATGTGTGAACCTACAACACCATGATAAACAGTGTGCGAACCTACAATATAGCATCATGATATTTTATAGTACACCCCCTAACCATCACGCCCCCCCCCCTTACTTTAGTGCTGTTGGCGCCGCCCCTGTTTTTGGCTAGAATCTCCCAGGCCCGGTGCCAAAATATTCTATACTTGTTGAGCTTTTACCCCAAACTCCCCTGTTTTCCACACACACCCTCCCCCAAGACCTTACCTGAGTTTCTGTTGGCGCCGCCCCTGTCTTTGGCTGGAATCTCCCGGGCCTGATTCCAAAATATTGTTCACTACCATCGCCCCCCCCCCCCGCACCCCTTACCTGAGGTTTGTTGGCGCCGCCCCTGTCTTTAGCTGGTATCTCCCTTCTGGGCCTGGTGCCAACATATTCTATACTTGTGTGAACCCCCTTCCTGTTTTGATCCCCACCCCCCCCCTTTACCTGAGTGCTGTTGGCGCCGCCCCTGTCTTTCGCTGGAATCTCCCGGGCCTGGTGGATCTTGACGACCATCCGGCTGTGCGCGTTGTCGTACAGGAAGGAGACCTCGAGACTGCCGCACTTGGAGATGAGGGCGGGCTCGTGTTGGAGGTCGCTGACGTCAAATAAATGTTCCTGGTGACACCAAAATAAAATTCACTTATCAAAATGTAATTTTTATGGTAGCTTATAAACATTAGAATGATTTATGTGGAGGTCACTGACGTCAAATAAATGTTCCTGGTGACACCAAAATAAAATTCACTTATCAAAATGTCATTTTTATTGTAGCTTATAAACATTAGAATGATTTATGTGGAGGTCGCTGACGTCAAATAAATGTTCCTGGTTACACCAAATTAGAATTCACTTATTAAAATGTGATTTTTGTTTTTAGTTCAACTATCAAAATGTGATTTTTGTCTTTAGTTAGTGTTTAGGTCACTTACGTCAAATAAATGTTCATGGTAATTTAAAAAAAAAACATAAGTTCATTTATTAAAAATGAAATTTTTATGTAGCTTTTGGAGTTTGGAACGTTGTGTGTGCAAGACACTGAAATCTTATAAACCTATAAATGTTCCTGAAGATACACATTTACTTTTTTTTTTTAATTTGATATTGTTTTTTTGGTTAAGCTATTGAACAGGGGAATATGTTGTGTGGAAGTCACTGACATAAGATAAATGTTCCTTGACCTTAATTAAATTAATTCACATATAAAAGTGTGATTTTTGTTGTTAGTAAAACTATTGAATAGGAGAATGGTTTGTGTGAATATAACCGATTTTAAAATAATATAAATGCGATTTTTATATTTTGAATTTTTTTTTATTCTAGAAAGGTTTAAGTGGAGATCACTAATGTTAAATAAATGGGTATTGCAATCAACTAATTCATTCATTCATCTAAATCTGATTTTGATGTTGATGTTTAGATTTTTGCATAGTTTGTATGGAAAGCAATGACGTCAAATATATGGCCATAGACATAAAAAAAATTGTTCTTACAACAAATTGTGATTTCTGTGTAGAACTTTTTGGACTGTCTGAATGTGTAAATATACAACGTCTTAAGGCGGACCATTGTTCACAACACGTTTACCAACTTTTTAGACTTACAAAACTAGACTGGTGATTTATAGTGATCGATCAACATTCAGTTGTTTCATCTACACCAGTAGTTATCACGGCCATTTCCAGTCTATTCTGAGCTTTTGTACAAGACAGCTGGATGGTTGTGGTGAAAGTTAAAGGTGGTTGGGTTGTTTTTCGCTGTTTGTTTTGTTTTTCGTTGTTATTTTTTATTGGTGATTTTCTTTAGAGTTTATTGACAATGTGATTCTAATTTTGTCGGTTATTACAAATGATTTAAGTACATAAAATATTAAACGTTTGTCGTATGTCTGTGTATTATATAAGGAACGTCAACATTAAATCGTCATATCAACGATGTATTAATTTAAACTACACTTCAACCGTATATCTTTTCTACAAAACTGACACTGGATCAAAATTCAGAAACATTTCCAATTTCCAATGGCTTTTGAAACTGGCACTTTTAAAGTTTAAATATTTCATTTTGTACTGTTTTATTTATTTTTTTTAAGTTTTTAAACTATTTCATAACTGTACTGGAATTGGATTTTATAAAAACTTCCTCTCCCCATTGAGTTCGGAAAATATTTTATTTAAACCCCGGCGTGACCTTTAAACCTCAGCGTGACCTTTAAACCGGGCTGAACAACCTCTTCAGACTGTGCTCCAAGACTGCCGCGTTCCTCAACTGTTCTTCCCTTAGCCACGGTAAGCGGTGGGCCAAATTATGGGATATTAGACATTATAGATTTTCTTTTCTCTCAACTGGCCGGGGCCCAGTAGCAGAAGAGATCCAGCCATTAAGTTTAGCCGCTGCCGTCTAACGATTACCGTTGGGGAAAAAATGCCGCGTTACTGGCGCGGGTCTTGAATAGATTACAATACATTTTACAGTAGATAATTCAAACATTCAAGACGATGTTTGCTATGTTCATGTAATTGGGTAGGTTAATACTAAAACGGGGTAGTAAACATATGTACCTGTATGTTAATACTTAGGATAGTAAACATATTATTATGTACCTGTAGGTTAATACTTAGAATAGTAAACATTTGTACCTGTAGATTAACACTTAGGATAGTTAACATATTATTATGTACCTGTAGGTTAATACTTAGGATAGTAAACATTTGTGCCTGTAGTTTAACACTTAGGATAGAAAACATATTATTATGTACCTGTAGGTTAATACTTAGGATAGTAAGCATATGTGCCTGTAGTTTAACACTTAGGATAGTAAACATATTATGTACCTGTAGGTTAATACTTAGGATAGTAAACATGTGTACCTGTAGTTTAACACTTAGGATAGTAAACATATTATTATGTACCTGTAGGTTAATACTTAGGATAGTAAACATATATACCTGTAAGTTAATACTTAGGATAGTATACATATGTACCTGTAGGTTAATACTTAGGTTAGTAAACATATTATTATGTACCTGTAGGTTAATACTTAGGATAGTAAACATTTGTACCTGTAGTTTAACACTTAGGATAGTAAACATATTATTATGTACCTGTAGGTTAATACTTAGGATAGTAAACATTTGTACCTGTGGGTTAAGACTTTGGATAGTTAACATTTGTACCCCAAAGTTAATACTGAGACGGGATAGTAAACATGTAATGCACTGTGGTATAAGAGTGAGGGTGGTTAGCTCTCACAAAACGTAAGTTATTTAACCTAGACATTACATTTACCGTCTGTAAGAATCTGTTCTGTGTTATTTGATTAATAATTAACTGCCTATGGAGTCTAAATCTGAAAATCGATATTTTACGCGTGATTAATGTAATATGCTTAAAATGATAAAAATAGAGTTTGAATTTTATTTTAAGAAATATGAAACTGAAAATTTATATTATGTTACCACATGAATGCGAGTATTTTTATTTTAAATCTTTTTTTTTAAATCGATATTATTCTGTCAAGTTGGTTAAATAAGATTAGATTCCATCTCAGTTATTTCCCTTCATGCTCATTTCATATTTAGTTATCGATTCAAGGGAAGTAAAAAAAAAAATTGCTGAAATATTTTTTCTTACGTGAATCCAGAGTAAAAAAAATAATTAATAAATAGTTTGTTTTTTTTTCAAATTGAATGCAACGAATGCAGGACCGATAGGGAGAGGGGAGCAGTAAAATTTTCCGGACTTATTTCTTTGATCTTGCTGACGTCAACAAACTAATTTTATTGATTCGTTTTTGCTTTTAATAATTAGTTTTTTTATTTTTTATTTAAAAAAAAAATAAAATCCGACAGTTCGATAAGACTGAATGTAAAATTGAAATAAAAAGCTAAACCTGGGTTAAGCTGAGTTCAATCATCCGTGGCGGAGGTTATTCGCTTTGTTGGATATTAAAAGGTTGCTGAATGGGGGGGGGGGGGGGCTGGGGGAATGTATTGCGAGGTTTTTAAACATATGTCACCAATTGATAAAGTGTCACCACTAGAATCGGTGTGCTGGTGTCACCACTAAAATAAATTATATTGTGTCACCATTTATACACGAAATTTCACGTCACGACTATAATAGGTGATTTGGTGACAATACTGAAAAAGGTGACCAATTGTGTCACCACTAAGAAAGTGATATCATAACACCACTTAAACGTGATATTTAGGGTCACAACTATAATAGGTGATCTGGTATCAAAACTAAAACAGGTGACCTATTATCACCACTAGAAATAGGTGATCTGGTGTCACCACATAAAAATGTCAAATATTTCAGGGTAATTCATCAGACAATCAGTACTTTGCAGCTATCACTAATGTCAGACACAACGAGACTAGCAACACAATTTCATGCTTTTAATTTACTTGTGGCTGATGTTGTTTATTTGTTTTCTCTATGTTGTTGTTGTGTTGTTTTGTTTCTTTTTGTTTTTTGTTTTTTGTAGTTTTTTTGTTGTTTTTTTTTGTGTGAATTAATACAACTATTTCATTCAAAGTTATATAATATTTATAATTTTTCAAAAGCATTATAGATCTAAATTCTGTTGATTTTTTTTTTTTTTTTTGCATTGAATAAATTTATTACAACTGGTATCCATATATGGAACTGAAATGACGCAGATAGAAACGAGTGAGTTACTTTTTTATGACTTTAACCAACAGCCTGAACATTCTCTCAGACGCTCGTTTGCATTATGTAAAAGCCATTTCCGCAGACAAATCCCATCAGAGGAGTGATCGAAAATTCCATAAAATAATGTTTCACTTTATGAGAGAATCCATAGAAAGAGATGGCAATGTGAGGATTGATTTTTTTTTTAAATTATTTTAAAATAGAGAATAAAATCTACAGTGAACAAGTGTGACGTTGTTAAATGAACATTCGTGTAATGTTCATAAAGTGTTCTGATAATAATATGTCCAATTAATGTACAACTTTGCTAAGGGCGATAACAGCAATTTGTTGTTACCTCCCCTGACATAGTATATGGATTATGTGGTTTTATCCGAAACTGGTAAAATAATATTCTATACTTTGGCTTTATTTAATATAAAGAATATATTTCATCAAATATGTTAGAAATATATATATATATGTATATATATATATACATATATATATATATATATATATATATATATATATATATATATATATATATATATATATATATATATATATATATATATATATATATATATATATATATATATATATATATATATATATATATATATATATATATATATATATATATATACCTATAATTAGGTTTACATGTTTACATGAATGCATAAAATTAGTAACTGGACGAAAGTAAAATGTGCAGGAACTAGGCTTCTGTCTCTAACCCCCCTACCCCTCCCCCACAAACACAAACACACACCACAAACATACACTCTTTAACATTGATTCAACATCCGCTATCACTAACCTGCTGTTAATTTAACCACCGAAACCACTATCGACGAACCATCCTAGCATAAAATATTTCCCTAGCTGATTGCCTCGACTCTTGTTTTTTTTTTATCAACGTCCGATAACTCCCGTCTCCCCTCGCAGCTTTATTACTATACACCAAGGGAAATAATAGCAATATCTTACAGATTATACCCCCTTGGTTACACTGCCCAGCCTCGATGTTGTGTTTTATTTCATTTTGGTCCCATCTCGTGTGGTGGGAGAACCCGATGGAGCATGATTGCCGTCTATATGAAACGATAATGACGTTTTGAACATACTTCAGTCAGACGGAAATATGGGGGTATTGAGTTTCAGGACAATAATTTGACAAAAAAATCTTCGTGATCATGGGCGTATTTGAAATGAGACGCCCTAAGCGCCTTTGATATGAGACGCCATCGTCTCTAATTCTCTGAACAATTGGCGAATAGTGTTGGGGAATAGAAGGGCTAAACTTAGATGAATCGCAAACAATAAATTTATTTTAGAATCTATAATATAAGCCGCCAGGTAGTGTGTCAGTCCTTCCTTCCGTCATCGGTACACCCACTTTGTCTTCGTCACAGCTAGAGCTCTCCCAGGGCGCGGACGCCCGGGAAAACATATTGTTCGTCGTCGGTTTACAATACACCACGGGGAAAGGTAGAAGGGACAGCCGTGTGGGCGTTGGGTCATTTCTTTCAACCACGGGTATAAGCTAGTATAGATAAGTTAGAAAACCAAGGGGAAGAATGGTGAACTGACGCAAATAGTCTACGTAAACATAAAAACAAAAATGCTCTATCTGCTCTCTATACTTAGACACATTTCGGGAAAATGGCTTTAAACTTTAAATGTGTATAATCATTAGGCCACGTTTAAACTACATTTAACTTTTTTTTTATTAATTTATGAGCGGGTTAATTTCTGGGTTTAAACTATTGATTTACTTAAATAAAATATGGTACGTATGGTAAGTAATGATTTCTATTGCCACTTCATTACTTAATCCTGCATGATGCATTTATAAGGTCTAGAATCTACAACACACTCTGTGACCCAGTCACTCCGAAAACGATATTTAATTTTTTTATTATTTTTTTATCTTAAATGTTGCTATTTGAAAACATTTGTATTTATTATTATTCCATTATCAAAGAAATTGTAGAAAGATATTTAAAAAGAGTGGGAGGAGGGGGTGGAGGCTGTAATCAGAAATTACTAATCAAACCAGTATGTAAACGCCGATGTGATTTAAATGTATGGACGGAGTTAGGCCTCAACCGCTTTTGTACTTAGACGATTTGTCTTGTTGATCTTTTACTTTAAAATTTTAAAAAATTCTTTCCTACATTTGATTTAAATTATTGTAATAAGTTGTATTGTATGTATTGGACATGTCTGTGTCTCCCTGTGTACTCACATCGCTGGTCAATCGCTCGCTGGGCGTCACGCTGTCCCCACCGTCTGCCATGAAGGCCTGGTTGTCGAACGTGGTCACCTCCTCCTTGCCGGCCCCGTCCTCCAGCTGGATCAGTGAGGTTTCCGGTGGAGGGGTCACATGATCGTCCTCCGGCTCCACGTGGCCGGAGGTCCGGCTGCCCGCCTCCCCGAACTCGGCCTTTGATGCTGCATCCAAAGTGTCGAGACTGCCTGCAGGTGAGAACAGGTGGGGGAGGGGGTCATTACAGATGGGTGTCATTACAGGTGGGGGACATTACAGGTGGGGTCATTACAGGTGGGTGTCATTACATGTGGGAGTCATTACAGGTGGGGGTCATTACAGGTGGGAGTCATTACAGGTGGGGGTCATTACAGGTGGGGGTCATTACAGGTGGTGGTCATTAGAGGTGAGAAAAGGTGGGGGTCATTACAGGTGGGGGTCATTACAGGTGGGGGTCATTACAGGTGGGAGTCATTACAGGTGGGGGTCATTACAGGTGGGAGTCATTACAGGTGGGGGTCATTACAGGTGGGAGTCATTACAGGTGGGGGTCAACAGGTGGGAGTCATTACAGGTGGGGGTCATTACAGGTGGGGGTCATTACAGGTGGGGTCATTACAGGGGGTCATTACAGGTGGGGGTCATTACATGTGGGGGGTAATACAGGTGGGGGGTAATACAGGTGGGGGGTCATTACAATTGGGGGAACATTACAGTTGGGCTCATTACAGTTGAGGACATTACTGGTGGGAGTCATTACAGGTGGGAGTCATTACAGGTGGTGGTCCTTACAGGTGGAAACAGGTGGGGGTAGGAGCCATTATAGCTATGGGTCATTACAGTTGGGGGTCATAACATATGTGAACAGGTGTGGTACATGGTTAACCATTGCAAGTAAGTACAGGTGGTTCATGATCAACCATCACAGGACGAAACATGGCCTATGGGGTGGGGGGGGGGGGGAACCATGGTAGAACTTGTGTGCTTGACACGCCTAAGTCGGTTTGTGTTGGAAAAAGTTTTATTTATTTACCATCTCTCGTTGAGCAATATACATCAAAGAATACATGTCAAATACTTTTATGTCTGTTTTATTCAATACATTAAAATTAGTTAAGGGTTAAAGGTTACAAGTTAAAGGGTCTTACACTGTGGTAATATTAGAATGCATCATGACGTTAAAACTGATGATAACAATACTCCTTGTACGTTAAGTATAAGTTCTCGTTCTCTCTCACTTAAATTCAAGTCTCGTTAGCCAGGAAGGGATAACAGTTTTCGAACTAAATCTTATAGTAATAGGCCTAGTACTTCAACAGCATATTAATAGAAAAATCAACAAAAAAAATCATTTTAACAACGTGCTATTAAACTCAGCAATTAATTGTTATTAGATTTTCTTTCATAAGTTCGTCTGTCTGTATGAAACATGAGTGAGCAACTAAGATAAATCAATGGGTTTTCAATTGTATCATTGAATCAATGGTGCTCTGGTTGGATGAAATATTTGTTCATTTTTTTAATGCCATGTTGTATCCATGACATGTTATCCATTGGACTTAACATAGATAATTTGGAATCTTACAAACTTTAAAAACAATTTTTTTTTGCCTGTGACCGACAGGCTTTGCTGGCAGTCTGTAATACAAGCCGTGTCAGTCAGTCATATGTATAGTCACTTTCTCTTTGTTGTTGTGTGGTGTGAGTGGGGCGCGAGCGTTTCGTGCATGAGGAGTGCTCTCCCTGGACGCGGACGCCCGGGAAAGCATGTTCGTCAGTCAGCGGTCAATATTACACATCGGGGAATGGGAGACAGGGGCAGGGGAACTATAATGCTGCCAGACCTCGCAATGCGGGTGGGGGGGGGGGGGGGGGGGGGTAGGCCGTTTAGGGGGCCCAAAATCCGACCAAAAAGCAATGACTCTGTATTCAAAAACTACGTTTTCGTACAACTTAATAGTAGTTTTGTAAAAAAAAAAAAACATAGCTACTTCATTAGTGATGTTCTACATTAGCTAGCACACGCTGTTACGTAAAAGAAAAAAAAAACACATCTGCATGAGCTGGAATGTGAACAAACGTTCAAACCACTTCCATGACTTATTTCCCTTATTTAAATAGTTAAATCTCCTTTTAATATTTTGTACTAAGCAAATTAAAAAGCATTTACTTCTCTTAATTATTGCTTTATATAAAATACATACCAAAGAATAACTTCTGACCAACTCAACAGTCGGAAGCATTACAGCGGACATAAAATGAAAGACACATGGGGAAAAAACAGACTAATGCACTTACACAGTTGACATATTGTAATTTGTTTATATGAAAATATCTATATATATATCATTCTCTTCTGGGAGCCGTTAGAAAACAAGCTGCAAGCGCCTCCTTGCAGTCCCCTCTCTTTCTCTCTATCACTATCACTACCAACTCCCACCCCACCCCCACATTGTCTGGTGAGCTGTGGTCACGCTGTTTAGATTTTACAATCATAGAGACGGTTTGGTGACGGATATTAGGGGCAGATAATTTAGTTTGAAACGATTTTAAACTTAGAGGAGGTAACTAAGAGGAGGCTGCTTTCACGTGTGGTGGGGGGGGGGGGGGTTAGTGTTTTTAAGCAAATATTTTCAGTGGCAGCATTGGTACTGTCGAATTCACAAATTATAAATTACTGAAAAGTAGAAAAAAAAAACAACTAAATAGCGGCGTATGATACGCAGCGGGTCGGCTCGTAAGTATTAAAGAAAAAGAAATCTTTTTTTGAAACTCGATTGGCGCGAAGTGGGTATTCTGCGTTTGTATATATTTTTTAAACAAAAATTTGCGGGTTGGCCCTTTTTTCTAGTTCCGCCGCTGATGGGAGAATGTATTAAATGTATGTTTTTGTTTTTTATTTTTTAAAATGTATATAAAAAGTATCCAGGAGCTTTAGTGCTGAACCTACTCGAGGCTGAGTTCAAACTTACCAGTGTTTTATGGCTCGACGAAATCAAGGAAATGACGGCGGTACTCGACCGTAAGTACATGTCGCATGAACTTTACCTCATGTCTCATGAACTTCACTTCATGTCGCACGACATGCATACGTCACATATATACGTCACATATGAACGTCACATATACACGTCACATATAAACGTGAGTTTGTGAGTTCTCAATTGTCAATGAATGTTTAAGGGGTTAATTTTTTTAAAAAAGGAAGAACGCTGCCAGATGCCAAAATCAATAACACGCGACACACACTTGGTCTGAGCAATGTCTTGCCCTAGACAGAAATTCACTCACCCACTCACCCACTGACTAAATTCACTGACGTATCCATCACTCAAACACAATTCACCTAGATTACACAGAGATGGGTGGTCTCTGTTAAACCTTTTCTGCTCTAAATATCTTTATCATCTGTTTTTTAACGTGAATTATGTTATATTTAAAAAGTAATTTGAAGCTGATAGTTTTTAACCTAATCATAACTGACCAATACGACGCTCTATTGTTTGTATATGTTCAAGCCTGGAGCCGAATAAACGAAGAGAACAGCGCTAGCTTTGTTAAAATGTGTAAGAATTTTATCGGCGAGCCGGTGAGGGTGGAATACTTCCAACAAAATGTGTCGATTGATTGGTCAGACACTCAGACCATTGACCGGTTGGGTTACACTAGAGATAGGTTTACTACTGGGGTGAGTTGGTGAAACATGCTTTAAACTCGGGTTACAATGAAGGCTTTTTTAGACGGCCGAATGGGATTGCAGTCAAATAACACTACAAATTACAAAAGGAATTGCTAGGAATTTTGTTGAAAGATTACATACATCGCAAGTTTAGTTACAAACGAGATAGAGAGTTACTCACAGGAAGTGATCCTTACCCAATGGGACTGCAGTCAAATAACACTGCAAATTACGAAAGGAATTGCTAGGAATGTTCTTGCTGTTGAAAGGTGAACGTAACTAGTAAGTTTCGTTCAAAACGGCGTCAACAGTAGAGGGTAACTCACACGTAGTGAGGTCCGGTTCAGCACTCACCTTTAGAAGACTTGTGCGCCTCCTCCAGCTGCTCACTCCTGTGTGCACGTGAGCTTCTCGTGCTGCCCTTCAGGCTCCTGACACTGTTGGCTCTCACCGCCGTGGACTGGTAGTGCTTCAACACCTCGTCCTCACTGTCACTGGAACTGTCTTCGTCATACTGGTAGGCTGCACCTGGGGACAGGTACAGGTAGGTCATGTGAACACAGGTGCAGGTAGGTCAATTGATTACAGGTTGGTCATGTGACTAAAGGTGCAGGTAGGTCTTTTGAACACAAGTTGGTCATGTGACCACGGGTACAGGTAGGTCATGTGACCACGGGTACAGGTAGGTCATGTGAACACAAGTTGGTCATGTGACCACGGGTACAGGTAGGTCATGTGACCACGGGTACAGGTAGGTCATGTGAACACAAGTTGGACATGTGACCACGGGTACAGGTAGGTCATGTGATCACAAGTTGGTCATGTGACCACTGGTAAAGGTAGGTCATGTGAACACAAGTTGGTCATGTGACCACTGGTAAAGGTAGGTCATGTGAACACAAGTTGGTCATGTGACCATGGGTACAGGTAGGTCATGTGACCACGGGTACAAGTAGGTCATGTGAACACAAGTTGGTCATGTGACCACTGGTAAAGGTAGGTCATGTGAACACAAGTTGGTCATGTGACCACTGGTAAAGGTAGGTCATGTGAACACAAGTTGGTCATGTGACCACGGGTACAAGTAGGTCATGTGAACACAAGTTGGTCATGTGACCACTGGTAAAGGTAGGTCATTTGACCACATGTAGGTAATGTGACCACAGGTACATGAAGGTCATGAGACCACAGGTAAGTCATGTGACCAAAAGTACAGGTAGGTCATCTGACCACATGTACATGTAAGTCATGTTACCACAGGTAGGTCATGTGAACACAGGTACATGAAGGTCATGTGACCACAGGTAAATCATGTGACCACAGGTAGGTCATGTGACCACAGGTACAGGTAGGTCATGTGGTCAATTAGAAGTGGAGACCTATTGGGTAAAATTAAGTTATGGGACGGGTTATTCCATTGGATGAGCACAAGACAGCTATTGTGAGGGTCTCGAGTTCGGATCCCGGGTTCGAGTTCGTCGGACGTCCTAGAGACCACAGAAGTCTGATGAGTACCTGACTCTCTTTATAGATCCCAAGGTCACAGAAATCAATGAACTCTACTTCATCTGCTTCATGCACCGCCAGGTTCGAAAGAGTAGCATTTTACAGATAGGTCAAGAGGTCAACATGAAGTGAAGATATTTTGGGCATTGAAAATATGGGATCAGCGCTAACAAGAGATTCTCGCTTGGTCCAAACTCTTGACATTGTTTGGTCAGTCTTTATTAAACCTGTATTTGACAACACTCTAAACTAATAAATACAAAATTTACATAAAGCAATTTCAGGAAAATTAGCTACATTACATATACCCAGCAGCTAAAGGAATCTGCAAGTATAAAAAAATTAGTGGGTTTCTTTGTTTTGTTTTGTTTCAATAAAAAGTAAAGTTTTTAAATTCTTGCTTAATAAACATGTTCTATAAAAGGTTGGTTTGTTTGTTTTTGTAAATGATAACTTTGCTGTAAACTAAAGGTTCCTTGTAATTAAATTATACAATGTTCGAGTATGAAAATCTACACAATATACAACATTTACATTACAAACGAAGCAAGCAAATACACCATGATGCACGTGAAATCAAATACTAATCAAGCAAATTAATTTAAAATGTCCATGCATATTTGATTACATATTAGTGTCAGATCTGTAAATATGTATACGTACTAACAGAAGCAATATAACATAAAATAAATAAGAAGTTATATAACATATTGTTCGATTTGAACATTTTATTATAAAAATGTAAAATAAGCGTCATGAAGACTGTGATTCAAATTAAAAACTATTCTGCTTATTGATTTTCTTGTTGCTGTTTTTTATATATACATATCATGTATTCTATTGTATTTCTTTTTTTTTTCATTATATTTGATGTGTTATGTAAGACCTAGGTGTAAGGAAAAGATTTTACGATACCAAAATACCAAATTTTATCAAATTTTAACTTTTTAAAAAATAAAACACAAGCTTTAATGTTAAAATATACACTTTTTAAACGATGCCAAATGTATTTATTGTTATCAGTTGGCATAATAAAACACCGTACTGACCTGGGTTTTTTTTAATGTCATCCGAAAAATGTTTCATACGTTTAAAAATTTAAAGTTGAAATAATCAAATAAATAAAAAATTCAAGAAAGGAAATTCAACAACCCGATGGCAAAAAATGCTGTTTATGTCCAAAACCTTGGTAATCACATGCAACTTATTTCTACACAACTTTCAATGATGTCATCGCATGCAAATTGTTCTATCCCAGAATCCCTCCAATCCCCCTCCCCTTCCAAAATAACTCACCGTTTTCATCTACTTTCGCTTTCTTCTTTCTCGTGAGATTCTCCCCCTCGCTGATTAATTCATAATCCGCTTCAGTCGTCACGTCCGGTGGCTCCTTAGTCGTGGGCCCATTCACCTGGTGTCTTTTATCTGGCTCCGGGCCGGTCACTTCATCCGAACTGCGGCGCTTGGCGTTGAAATTGAAAAACCCGCAGCACAGCGTGAAGATATTCGTCCCCGCATAGTCGGCCGCCGATAGTTTTTTGCTGAACATGGCGTGGTCGTTTAGTCGTCCGCCCCACGACCCGTAGGATACAGGTTCAAATCACAACGGGGGACATGACTTTTGACGTCGTGTCCACGTCACATGTTTTTAAAACACGGCGCAGCCTTAGCAGTAAAAAAAAATAAAATAGCACAACGAAAATGGAAGCGTCGCACTCAGGGCCCGTAACTCGTCTAGTGAAATGCGAGAATTAGCTCCCCTCGCGTGTGTGACCGAGATTATGTGAGCTAATCACATACAAGTATCTGGCCAATTAACGCGTGATTGGAAGCACTTATGGTAATTAGTGGCACTTAATTCAAAGAATGGCACTTGTTCATCAAAGCTGTTGCGAAACGAACAAAAGCCTGCATACTCCGATCATATATATTGCTATATGGCACAGGACATTTTAAAAAAATGACATGAATATTTATAAAATAATGGAACGCAAGACATTTTCGTGTTCCTGTTTTTTGCTATTTAAAATTTTAGACTTTTGTTGTTTTTTTCTGCGGACGCTGAATAATTTCATTGTAAAAAAAAAACACAATTTAATTTTATCTCAATTGTATTTTAAATTTCTATGTGAAAATTCACTGAATTGAAAAAAAAAACTTTAAGCGCATAGTTTTCTAATGTTGCTTAGGTTAGACACAGGCAGCCCTAAACCATGATGTAAACCACATATCCACTATACTGCTTTTCTGCTTGATTTAAACCCACAGCATATCGCTAGCCAAAACATAATGTACACAAGACATCTACTCTACTGCTTCTAAGCTCGCTTTCAACCCACGGCTTATCTTATTGTGGTAGTTTGGGATACTCGAATAGCGGAATGTACAGTTTGTGTAGGTACTGTGTTAGGTAACACAAGCCACTTAACAGCTCTTTACTTGCATTTAAAACTTTGTTATTATTTTTTAAATAGTATATTTCTCGTGTAAACCTACTAACTGTATCCCATTCGAAACACGTAATGTTTTACAATTCTGCGCTATTTTTAGCGCATTTAAATTTTTGGTCTTGCTTTCTCTGACGTCGGCGCAATTACCTTAATACTGTCCCTAAAAAAAAGCCCAGTGGAGTCCTTTCAATCGTCGAAGTGGATCCTGACCACCGCAGTTCGATCCGCAGATTTATGCGGATCGACAGTCGAATGTAAGGAATTAAATTCTTTCAAAGTAGACACGTGTCCGTGATCCAGCTTCGAGCAAATTCTACTCCAAGATGAGTAGATACCTGCATCAGAGGGCTTCATAGTGGAGGCAGGTGTATGTGCATCTTCACATGCAAGCGCGCGCTTGTCCAAGTGTTGGTGCATGTACATCTGCTTATGCAGGTGTATGTGCATCTTCACATGCAAGCGCGCGCTTGTCCATGTGTTGGTGCATGTACATCTGCTTATGCAGGTGTATGTGCATCTTCACATGCAAGCGCGCGCTTGTCCATGTGTTGGTGCATGTACATCTGCTTATGCAGGTGTATGTGCATCTTCACATGCAAGCGTGCGCTTGTCCATGTGTTGGTGCATGTACATCTGCCTGGCAGGTGTATGTGCATCTTCACATGCAAGCGCGCGCTTGTCCATGTGTTGGTGCATGTACATCTGCTTATGCAGGTGTATGTGCATCTTCACATGCAAGCGCGCGCTTGTCCATGTGTTGGTGCATGTAACATCTGCTTATGCAGGTGTATGTGCATCTTCACATGCAAGCGCGCGCTTGTCCATGTGTTGGTGCATGTACATCTGCTTATGCAGGTGTATGTGCATCTTCACATGCAAGCGTGCGATTGTCCATGTGTTGGTGCATGTACATCTGCTGGCAGGTACATTGCTCTTTTTTTGACGTTTTTTTTTCAAGACCGCCTTAATTTTCTACCGTTCCCAAAGGATTGGATCATTGGTTTCTATTATTTATTTGCATTGAATACAAATTTTACTTTTTTTTTTAAATTACTTTATGTAAGAATAATTATTTTGTTTAAAAAAAAAAATCTTTTTTGAAGAAATCTTACTTTGTAATGAAACTCTTCTTTGTTTAAAGAAATTTTTATTTGTTTAAAAAAATTCTTCATTGCTTACTTAGTTTTAAAAAATTACTTTGCTTATTTTTTTTAATACAAACAAAATTTTATGAAAACTAAATTATATTTATACACATTTTTTTTTTAAACAAAATGATTATACTTTTTCAAATACCAAATGTACAAAAAAACATTTAGTTTTATATTATTCTGGGTAGGGGTGCAATGTTTGACTAAAAATTATATAATTACATTATTGTTTTACATTCAAACTTCTTACTAAGTTATATTGAAACAAAAATTGTATTAATCCAATTGCTATATCAAGTCCCATTATGCAAAACGGTGATATGTTTATCTTGGACAAAGAGTTGTAAATATAGTCAATATCATTTTCTCATACTGTCAATATCATTTTCTCATATCATTTTCTCATATAGTCAATATCATT